ATGTTGTGATAAGTTTTAATCATTGAATACACCAGAATACACAGAAATTGTCCTAAAAAGCCCACTAATATAATACTAATGGTTATTTAAAACATTGATATAGTTATTTGCAGTTTGCCTGCCATTAACTTGAACTAGAGGACCCAATCCAAATGAACTAAAACATCCCCAGACCATGACCCCCTTGCAACCTGATTTAAAGGTTGGAACTAAACAGTTAACATTGTATTTCTCTTCAGGGTTTCTCCAAACATAATCATGACCATCTCCTACTCCCCCAAATACTTCAAACTGTGATTCATCACTCTATATTCATTTTTTGCTTTGCATCCTCAATGCTCAAAAATGGCCTTAGTGGTCATATTTATGAACAGAATCGCTATGCTATAGTGATTAACTGCATCATCTGATGTTATATCTTTATCCATATTTATAGTTCTTAGAGTGCAGAGTACAGTTCTAGTGTCCATATCATTCTGTCATTCTGCAGAATTCCTCTTTATTAAAATTTTTTTGCAGTCACTGGTCCAACTCCATTCACTAACTGGAGGGTTGCAAAGCTGGCCTTATTGATATTTAGAGCACCTTCAACAACATAAATGAATGCTCTCCCAGCAAATGGGCCAAAATAGTCTGCCAATTCTGTCTGTCCACAATCCCAGAATTGACTGGAAGATTGATGTTGCATGGTTTCTCTTTGATGGTGAATAAAATGAAAAAATCCTGATTCAATGCAGACTTCTCACATTCCTCTTTATAATCCTTTTGCTTGATGGTAGTGTTTCCACTATTACTATACAACTTGTATTACTGGATCTCATTAGCAGGTGGTTGTGCATTGAGAGAGAGAAAAACATCACCAGCTGATGCAGATGTTGCATTAATGATGTCCTCCGTGATTTCCGCTCTCCGTCACACAAAAATCTCCGATTCCGCAGCACACGAAACAGTACGGGTGTTGCCAAAACGGGCCAAAAACTTGGACAGATAATCTAGACGTCCAAATAAGGAAAAAACTTGGACAGAGTACAAATTACCCCATTTATCCGTAAACTTGGACAGCTAGGAACAATAATTAGTTATAAATACGAGTCGTAGATAGTAGTTAAAAATCATCTTCAGTAGAATCTCAGATCACAGCAAGACGTTGCTATTAGATAGTTCTTTATAATCTAATAAATATCCAATTTAAATATAATCTTTATTTCGTTCATTCCCTGATAAAAGATACCGGCGTCGTTTGGCGAAGTGTTAAACCGCTTTCCCCGTCAGCGGCGAATAGAATTTAATCTTGCCGATAAATTCTATTTAGTACTTTTGCAATAGGGTTATTGTTTAGTTAAATTGTTAACACCTATAAATAGTATAATTCCCCATTCGATAGGCCGTAGAATTAATCCCACTACGGAAATCGCTGAGATACTCGAGTCTAAACAATAATCTAGGAAAAAAGCGATACTATACATCGTGAGTATTGAAAATCTGAGTTTAAAGGTCACTAATTGTACGTTATTTAGTTTAAAGTAGGAAGAGCAAAAGCTTCCGTTGGAAACGAACTAAATCCCAAAACGGCTAGTACACCGCTGCTCTCCCAGGTGTAAGCTAGTCCGACAATGACAATGTGTCTGTAGCTGTCAGATATCAATAAGCCCTTTAGTAAAATCAATGATCCATTTAACAGAGTTTTTCTTGGTAGTGGGTGTATCTATCTGGTTCATGGCATAGGCTGCATCAAGGTGGTGGTTCTTAAAGCTGGTTTGTATTGCTATTCAAATGGGCTCCAAAATGAACTTCAGAGATCTTTGTAAGCTGGCCTTCTTGCAGAGCAAAGGACTTCATGCAGCAAAATCTTGCATTGAATTTTTCAAATTTTTCCCAAGTACAATTCGATGGCAATGTCTGATCCTCTTTGGCTAAAAGTTCATTATTATTATAATCATCAAATCTCCAGCCTGAAAGCAGTGATTCTCTACCAGTTCCTTCTGCCATCACCCAGAGCCATATATGTAACTATTATTGATCATGTATTATCGGGCTTTGTATTTTTTTTTTCTGATGCTTAGAATGTAGACGATAATTTATTATGGTTGAAAACGTATGTGCATAGTGTAAAAACACGTGAATGATAATACATAGCCTGGGGCTATTATTGGTTGAGATTTCACACGCGTTTGTTTACATGCTTATACTAGCTTGTTTACATTACATTTATAAAGATTATCTTCATCTCGAGGCATTTCACCCACCATTTACTGCACCAAGTCTTCTGCTTGTTTACAGCTCATAGTAATAGAGACATCATAGAGATCAATAAACATCCCCTTCAATATTAACAGCAACTCACCTTCTACACATGCATAAATACATCAATAAAGGTACCCACCTCTACTTCATGTAGTGTACTATCACCTCTATTTTTGAGTAGTGCATTCACCTGTGCTTTTGCGCAGCCTTACTTTGTCACTACCTTTGTGTAGTGTATTGTCCTGATCTTAATGCTAATATTTATTTAATTTATCTATTAATATAGGAATTGCAACACAGCCGCCGTCGTATAATAATGCATGTTGCGGGCGGCCGCAGCGCTCGGTCTTAGTAGCAGGCAATCTTGCGGGGGTAACTATAAATCAGTTAGATATGTGGTTATCAACGGTTGCCCCCGTTAGATTTGTTCATATAACCAAAAAGCATAATAGTATGCTTTATTTGATGGTGAATGTAATGAATTAAATCTGACAGTTTGTCTAATGATCAGATACGGACACATTCATTTCGGGACGGATGCTCTGCGAGCGAATTTTATAATAATAATACAATAAATCAGATGACGTTTACGTTCGGACATAGAACGGTATGCTTTAGTGTTCAATTCAGGGCTTATCAGGTATGTCCTCATGTGTTTGTTATGTTGTACTCAACGTTTATTAATAAATCCAATATTAGAATACCTCCGTGGAACCCCCGAAGGCCAAGTCTCTGCTCCAGTTGCCCCCCCCCCCCAACGCACTCTATAAAGAGGAAGAGTCCGTATTTATAATTATTACTATTATCCCGATCAAATACAATGAAATTGTATAAGACGTTATTAACTAAACGGGATTCTTTCTTCTGAACACTTATTACTACTTAAGCAAATCGCGTGCAATATTGTAAAGATAAACAAATTTCACACTTTTATTGTTATCACTAATGTTAGCTACTTGAAGCAAACGTTCTTTAATTCAACGCAGCCGCCAAATTTGAGCCTTCACTTTTCGGCCAAGCATCCTACTGACTATGTATCATGAGCATGTAAAGGCTTCTTCACCTTTCAACATAAACGTTTCATCAACGCCTTATAATTTCTCACAAATTTGTCGTTCATATAACACTAGTGTACTGTCTTTAGTCTTTCAGAACAGTGATTGCAAGTCACATATTCATGTGACGGATTATTGCGTCTTAGCTTGCAATTTTCTTTGAATCATAGCAAACATTAAACTTTTTTCATAGATTCTTGAACAGGTATTAACGCATGAGATATATGTATGTTTGAATACTTTGAGATAGTTATGTTAATATTATGTTTTTTGAAGTTAGTATTAAGAAAGGAGGTTAGCGTATATGTTAATTCCACTTATTATTATGTTAGTTTGAAGTTAGTATATAAGAAAGGAAATTAGCGTTATGTTGTATCAATAAATTGTCTATAAATGTCAGAAAATAACGACTAGATATCATAGTTTTATTTCTTTTTTCACTTGTATTTGAACTTTTGAGATAAATATCTTAGCTATCGTTAACATAACTTTAACCGAAGTCCATAGTGTAATCTTAGCGATTTACTAAATATGGTTTTAGTTATGTTTATACGGCCAAAATTTTGTAATTAAGTTACCATTTTACCAATTAAGAAAGTATATACAACTACCATAAAAATGAATAAGAAGCGGTTGTTGTGAGCCGAGCTGACCATAATTGTTACGGTCGGGAATTAATTTGGGGGTTTTGGGAGAGCGATTTATCTTTTCGTGTAGGTGTGTTCGCCGACCGGGGGATGTTACCAGGCTTAGCTC